GCTAATTTTTGTATTTTTTTCGTAGATACGGGGTCTTGTTATGTTGCTCAGGCTGGTCTTGAACTCTTGGCCTCAAGTGATCCTCCCACCTCAGCCTCTCAAAGTGCTGAGATTACAGGCATGAGCCACTGCACCCAACCTAGGGTAGGTCATTCTGACCCACTGAGTCATACAATATCAGAGCCACAACCCCTCATCCCTCATTATGGACAAGAGGAAATTGATACCCAGGGAAGGGCCTCACTTGCTTGGAGTCACACTGTAAGTTAGTGATAGCCGCTGACATTAGGACATAGATTTTAGAATTTCCAGTCCAGAGTATATCCTCTTTACTCACAGAAGAAGCTTTTATGGTCAGTAAACTCAAAAGCAAAATTTACCAGGCATCACATACAGTGAGGATGATTGGAAACACAGTGAAATTGCCAATCAACTGTCTCCTTTATCATGCACTACCGCACCCTCTGCGCAAAAGGCTTCTTGGTTGGGAAGGCACGCCCTCCCCAAAGACACCAGGAAAGAACTGGCATCAAGGACCAATGCCATTCAAGTGGATTCGTTCATTCATGCATCTATTCATTCCCCAAAATGTTTACTGAGCACGTTATGTTATGTGAACAATGCTAAGTGCTGAATAATGTGTACTTGTCTGACTTCTCTTCCTAGGCAAGAAGGAAGATCTGAAATTCCACACCCGGACTGGGTTTCCAAGACCTGAGGTTTCGCTTGGAGATGCTGTGGGGCTGGCCCTGGGCTATGGGAGCAGGTTTAGGAAACCAGGAGGCTGTTTGTGGGGAAGGGCAGGAAGCCAGAGAAGTCAGAAACATCCAATTCAGGGAAGCAGAGGGAGGGAAAGGCCATGCTTGGAGCTGAGAGTCAGCCACGGGGGGTCAGCAGATGTAGCATGGGTTCAGGTGGCCCAGAAAGTCTCCCAGAGGTTCCCAGAGAGGCCCTGAAGGAGAGCAGATGGATGAGAGGGAAGGGCCAAGGGAGCCACATAGCTTCGATGACATTTATCACTGCTAATGAATGAACTAGATACTTTGGTATGGTTTAGACACCTGGTGATGGTTGTTGACTGTTCTCTTTAAAGGGAATGAGGGTAGGAGGCGCTAAGCTGAGGGATATCATAGACCACCGGCTCCCAACCCTCTTCTGTCGGTGTCTTTACATCATTCACAGGGGCAACACCCTCCCATTGGTGACACCTTTTGAGACAGGAATAATACAGGATGGTCTCAGGAGAACAGAAAATTCCAGGCAGGAGTTTCACATGACTAGCAAAAGGATACTGTTAAAATAGCCATAGAGGCTATGGGCTGACAAGACCCCGGAGTGTGGACCAAGCTGGCTAAGACCGACTGCATACAACATGGTGCTGGATCTGACCTAGATTTTACCTAGAATCTCCTTATTCGCTCATTGACATACTAAACACACACCCACCAGTGCCATGACAGTTCCGAAACCAGCTATATTTGGTGTAAAAATGGGTGGCATGACAGTTTTGAGAGAATCTTCATGAATATTCCACCCCTTGGTTAAAGCAACACATAGAGTTCCCTGGGAACGGTGGCTCATGCTAGCACTTTGGGAAGCTGAGGAGGGCAGATCGCCTGAGGTCAGGAGTTCGAGACCAGCCTGGCCAACATGGTGAAACCCCGTCTCAACTAAAAATACAAAAATTAACTGGATGTGGTGGTGTGCACCTGTAGTTCCAGCTACTTGAGAGGCTGAGGCAGGAAAATTCTTGAACCCAGGAGGTGAAGGTTGCAGTGAGCTGAGACAGCACCACTGCACTCCAGCCTGGGCTACAAGAGTAAAATTCCGTCTCAAAAAAAAATAAATAAATAAAAAGAAACCCATAGAGTAGAGGTAGCAGCCCCAAACTCCATTGCGTGTCTCTCTCTTGGGTATACCTGCACCCCCTTTTTTTGAGTATGTACTTTTCGTTTTGCAATAGATGTCCATACTTTCACTGTTTTCTGACTCGTCCTTGAAGTCCCTCTCGTGATGGTGTCAAGAGCCTGAACACAAGCTGGGGGCCAGGTCCCACTGGTATTTGGGGACCTCCTCCAGCCCACTGGCATCACTTTGATTAACATTCACCCTCTCCCCACACACACATCAAGGAGGGGAGGAAAGGAGAGGGAGTGATGGCAGCAAATGCTCACAACCAGAATCTCGGGTGGGGATGCATCAGAGCTGCAAAAGTTCTTCTAGAAATTCTGCGACCATGCCCCTCCACCTCCTCAAGAATGTGCCTTTGCTTGTTGAGAATCACAGCTGTGGACAGAATGAGGGCGCCGGAAGCACAGGGGCACAGCGGGAGTCGGTAACAGCCTTTATTGAACACAGAGTACGGAGTTCTGGGCGAAACACTGGAGGGAAATACAGTGGAGGTTCAGCAGCCGTTGTCGGCCTCATGAAGGTTACATTTTATGTGAACGATGGGGACACCAGTTAAGCATACACAGATGTGTGTGACCGAGCCACAGAAATACATACATACATGCTTCTTCACTACTACGACTTATGATGCGAGATTCCCACAGGAGCTGGGGTACGGGAAGCCAATGAGACACACAGCTTAACTGAAGAGCAAAGATACTAGTCTCCAGTCCAGGATTCAAGTTCTACCGGGCTACTCTGGGGATGAGTGGGAGCTACCAGAAGACACTAGAAAATACCAGAGAATGATGATGAATGTGTTTTCTTAGCTCTATTAGCCACTGTATTTCAAACTCCAAGTAGCATTCTACTTTAGCATAATATGAAGGCAGTTAAATAGAGTTCTAGAATAGAATAGTTACTAGTACTAATAGAATAGAAAGTACTAGAATAGAATTATGCTAATTTTTTTTAAAAAGAGTAAAATCAGACCTTCTTAAAGGACAGACACAGATTCTAAAAGTTAATGCCTTTTAAAATTCTTTTAAAAACAAGCTTCTATATGTGAAAGACTTTCCAATAAATCAGGGGAACAGAGGCATTTTACTGCTCTCTATCTGGAAAATTGTTTATATTTTATGTGCTTTTAACATTTTTAAATTTTTTATGTGCTTTGAAAATATTGTAAGGTAGGGTTGCCAGATAAAATACAGGATGTATTTTAGCACATGAGACGTGGTCATCCTGAAAACTATTCGTTGCTAATCTGAAATTAGAATTTAGCGGCTATTTTTAGTTTAATATGCCTTTGGAACTTCCAGAGCTTCCCAATAGTGGGGGGCCTAATTTATCTTCATTTATATGCTAACACTGTCAGAAAGGAAGACTTATTCCTCCAGCAGGAAAGTTGTGGCTAATATAGGACTTACTCAAATATCAGAGACATTTTTATTTCTTACATCCTTTATCAATGCCATTTTAGCAGTGCGCATTCAAGTCGGCTGAATTTTTACCTTGAAGCCTTTGACTGAGGTGGCTAGTGATAGACGGTAATATTAGATTGCAGTCGGAGGAACAGTCCGGCTTGAAAGGTCTCCTGTACTAGTCACAAACTCAAGAATTTCTTCTGTTATCACATGACAATCCCCCCTCCAAATTCCAGGCAGCAGTTTCGCATGACTATTAAAATGAAACTGTTGAAATAGCCACAGAGGCCATGGGCTGATAAGGCCCCAAAAACCAGGGTGTGGACCAAGCTGGCTAAACCCCGCTGCATCCAACATGGTGCTGGATCTGACCTAGATCCTCCAAAAATGTGACACTCACATCTTGTTCCATTACACATCTGTGATGCGATTCATCATCACTGCTTGTCACTCTTTCCTTTTCCCCTTTCCACACTGAATTTTTTGGATAACTGAAATCCTTGTGTGTGACACAGAGCATCAGGTCTGGATCAATGGTTGGCCATGACCCCATGGAAACGAGAAAAAGCAAAGCTCACTTCTCGGTTACCTCAAGGCAGGAAACTGTGAACAGTGGGTTTTTTGGTTTGTTTCCTGCTTGCTTCCCACACTAGCAGGCAAACTTGCTTCTGTAAAATATGTTCATGTTAATTTGTGTAAGCAGACAGGACAACGTTGCTCTAAAAAAATTAAGAAAGAAGTGTTGGTAGATTGAATTGATACATACTGTTCTAGAAATGCACTTCCTGGTATCTGAATGTACAGCTTATATCTTATTTGAGATTTCTAAGTCAGAGGAGAGATATTTCAACATTAATTCTGCTAAGAAATGATGTTCACATGAAACTTTAACTATCATGAAGGAATGTAAAAGTATAGTACTAGCTGAATTCCTATATCTAACAACCATTCTTTTTTTTAAAGAACACCAAAGAGTATACTTATATGTAAAGAACATATTTTGTGTTTGGTTTATATGTATACGTACAATTAACCAGTTATTAGCAAGTGTATAGATTGCATTTAAAGGCATAGGCAGCTTTGACATTCAAAAGCTATGCGTTAACTGAGTCCAAGTATGCCAGTTTTAATTCTGGGCCTGACTATACGTGTTTCTACATTTGGTCAGGTACATGTAACTTACAATGCTCCTTTGTTCCTGGAGGACTTTTCTGGGAAAAAGGAAGTGTAGATGAATGTGAGAAACTGAGTTGAGGCAAAGAAGCTGTGAGGTTTAATATCATCATACAAAGGAGAAATTAAGTAATATATATCATTAAAATAGAAAAAAAATTCCCATGCACCTTCTGACACTTAACATTTCTTATAGTAAGATAGCATTCCATCCAGCTATTTGCCACGTACTCTTTTCTCTGTAGAAATCCTCAATTCAAGGCTGGGCGTAGTGGCTCATGCCTATAATTCCAGCACTTTGAGAGGCCAGGTGGGAGGATCACTTGAGCCCAGGAGTTTGAGTCCAATCTGGGCAGCATGGTGAAACCCCAACTCTACAAAAAAAAAAAATACAAAAGTTAGCCAGGCATGGCAGCACATGCCTGTAGTCCCAGCTGCTATGGAGGCAGAGGTGGGAGGATCACCTGAGCCCACGAGGCAGAGTTTGCAGTAAGCTGAGGTGGTCCCACTGCACTTCAGCCTTAGTGGCAGAGCCAGCCCAGCCTCAAAAGAAAAAGAAATATTAAGTTCAAAATTCCATCTTTCAGACATTTCTTATGCTCTTCTGACATCAACTAGCTTATGACTCTGAATGTTTCTGGCCAACCTCAAGATGAAGAAATCAGGCTGCCGTCTTACCCAGGATAAAATGGCTAGAGAGGGTTTGCTTCGTGTTCTCTTTGTGGTTACAATGAGGTGGGCGGCTACAGCGGATACAGGAAAGAGTGATGGGCTCCCTGCAGGCAGAGCGACCTCCATGATTCCGCATGAATGGAAAAAGCAGAGCATGGAAATGTGTCACAGGAGGAGTGAGAGCCCACGTTGGATGTTCTAGAAGGCTTTGAAGCTCAGCAGGCCCTCATCTCCATTTTGAACATGTGCTTGGTAACTCCGTGTGCAGTCTGAGCCCTGCTGGGCTCCTGTCCCTGGCTGCCAAGGTTTCTCTGATGGTGAGTGTTACTGAACATTTCTTGCTTTGAACTGCCTAGAAACCAAGTCACGGCCCCACTGGAGCAGTGCTCTGGAATCCAGATGAAGGATGAAAAGCAAACTCTGAAGAGTTCCTGCTGGAGATGGAGCCTTCCTTCTCCATCACCTCTGCTTCCTTCTCTTCCAGATCTCTTCTTCCGTTCTTCCTTCTCCACATCCTCCCCTCCTTCCTTCTGTGGTGGAGGGTCAGGGACAGCTCACTGGGGTGGCGCCGAGGCACTCATATGGCTGTAGGAGAACCTGGACAGGGAGGCCCCTATGGTCCTGCCTTCCTCCTCCTCCCCCACCTCTCCCCTCGCCCCTGGGGGACCAGGATTGGGGCAGCAGGGGAAGGTGGCCATGAAGCCGAGGCGGAAGCGTTTGTTCATGAAGCAGTAGATGATGGGGTTGATGCAGGAGGAGGTGTAGGACAGGAGGAGGATGAAGGAAATGGGGGTCCCTGAGAGGCGGCGCTCAGCAGAGATGGTGTCGTAGGCCCGCCAGGCGTTGGCGCTGAAGATGGGCATCCAGCACAGGAAGAAGAGGACCACGATGACGATGAGCATGCGGATCACCCGCTTCTTGGCCATCAGGTTGGCCGCGGAGCTGCTGCTCCGGATGCGGCTGGCCCTGCTGCTGCTGCTGGTGGACAGCTGCCGGAGCTCCAGCTTCCTCGAAGGCCTGGACTTCTGCAGGTAACACCCATCGCTGTCCTCATATCTGCCGCTGCTGCTAGTGCTGGATTTCCTTTCTGGGTGGGCAAGATAAATCACTCATTGTTGGGGATGGGTCATGCCAGGTAGAAGGCAGGGAGCTCCCACTTCCCTCCATCAAGAAGGCCAAACCAAACCAGAACTGAAAAACGGCAGACAACCTGGCTTTACACTTACGTGGGTAAGCATTGGTTTATACAAGTTCTTCCTTTCAATAAAAAGCTACTTAAAATGGATAGAATGTATCATGAAAATATACTAGGCATGCAGGTTACAAGAAAAAAATTATTAAAGAATGAAGATTCAGCCAGGGGCGGTGGCTTATGCCTATAATCCCAGCACTTTGGGAGGCTGAGATGGGTGGATCATCTGAGGTGGGGAATTCAAGACCAGCCTGGCCAACATGGAGAAACCCCAGCACTACTGAAAATACAAAGGTTAGCCAGGTGTGGTGGTGGGTGCCTGTCATCCCAGCTACTCAGGAGGCTGAGGAAGGAGAATGGCTTGAACCTGGGAGACGGAGGTTGCAGTGAGCCGAGATCGTGCTGTTGCACTCCAGCCTGGGTGACACAGAGAGACTCTGTCTCTCAAAAAGTAAAAAATAAAAAAAATAAGAATACTTTAAAAATGTTCTGGTAAATTCTACGTACACTCTGGGTATATCTATTTAAATGACAGAAAACAAGCTTTTGTGCTCGTTTGGCAGAAATACACAGCTACAAGATAGTTACCTTTAGCAGATTTCTTCTGGCTAGCCTCAAATTTTATTCCCTGGTAGAGTTCCAAAGAGATTAATCCATATGCCACCATCATCACAATTCCAGGAATAAGAAAGAGGATGAGTAACAGGAACGTGTGCCTAATGAAATCAAAAGAAATCCAATAACCAGCAACTCTAGGCCTTCAAACTAAAATGGGGAGGAATGAATAGGGTTTATGTTTATTTTTGCTGGCCGGAGCAAACACATTAATTACTAGTATTTAATATCCTTGGCAACTTCACGTCTGGTGAGTAAGAGTCAGTCATTATAAGTTGTTTACTTCTTTTCTTTTTATAGATGAAGTCTCTGATGAAGGACGAGTTTAATTGGAAAAGTTTGGTGTAGTGCGGTGCTTGAAACAAGTCTATGTATTAAAAAGAACATAAGCTTTAAAAAATGATGGAGTATGTGAGAGCATTTCAATAAAGTTGTTTTTAAAAACTTTAAAAACGAGAGCTTACATTCACTGAGGATTTCTATGTGCTACATACTGGGCATTTGACATATGTCATTACATTGAACTGCCATAATAACTATTGAGGTAGCTGCTATTGTCTTTTTTTTTTTTTGAGACAGAGTTTCACTCTTGTTACCCAGGCTGGAGTGCAATGGCGCGATCTCGGCTCACCGCAACCTCCGCCTCCTGGGTTCAGGCAATTCTCCTGCCTCAGCCTCCTCAGTAGCTGGGATTACAGGCACGCGCCACCATGCCCAGCTGATATTTTGTATTTTTAGTAGAGAAGGGGTTTCACCATGTTGACCAGGATGGTCTCGATCTCTTGACCTCGTGATCCACCCGCCTCGGCCTCCCAAAGTGCTGGGATTACAGGCGTGAGCCACCGCGCCCGGCCTGCTATTGTCTTAATACCTATAGCAGAGAGGAGGAAACTGACACTTAAAGAGATGAAATAATTTGTCCAAAGTCACACAGCTGGTAGCAGAGGTGGAATGTGAACCCCAAAATATGATTCCAGACCCTAGAAGCTATGCTTTTAAGCATCACAGTATGCCATTTGCCAAACAACAGAATAATCAAATACTTAGGCAGGGATGATGTCTGCGTCTCACAAAACATGCCATTCTGGCTGTTTCTGACCCATAAGCAGCTCAGACACTTACATGGGCATCCACTCTCTATGATCCCATGAAGCTGGCATAGTGGCACAGCCATTCTTGTGCCTGGTGGGGTAGAGCTATGCTTTCTCTAAACATCCTTGATTCCTGAGGAATTGCAGCCTCCTCTTTTATGAGTCTGGCCCCTAAATCACTTCTGCAGTCTGGCATGTGTGAGGTTACACGATTAGGCCATAAAATTGTCAGAGGCTCGTGGTGGCTGGGCCATTTCTCATTTCAATTTGACATGTTTTGATAAGATTCCTTTTCAAGCCTTGGAACTATCCCTCTCATTTGCAATGTAATTCCTTTGTGTGGGTGCTACTTGGTTGAAATGAAAGCAGGAAAGCAAAGAAAGCAGAGATGATCTCAGTTTGGGTCTATTACTGAATGTCTAGTTCCCTGCTTCTAAAACATCCTTGGAATTGGTAAATATAATACCCTGCAATTTGTGTAGTCTTTTTTATAATGACATTTTTATGCACATATTCTCCTTTGTATCTTACAGCCGCCCAATGAGGTAGATGTTTAAAATATCCATATTTTTAACTCCTTATAGAGATAAGGAACCTGATGTTCAGAGAGGTTATGTGAACTGGACCAAGGCCCCCAGTTAGTAGGCAGAGGAACCAGCATTAGAATCTTGCCTTTTCATTTTTGGTAAAATGCTCTGGGTAAGTACCAGAGCTGCAGCTCTAAGAAAAATCACGTGGGATTTGAGAATCACTCCCTGCTCTGTTTTAATTCTTTAGACATAGAAAATCATGGCCACGTGCAGTGGCTCATGCCTGTAATCTCAGCTCTTTGGGTGACCAAGGTGGGAGGATCAGTTGAGTCATGGAATTCAAGACCAACCTAGGCAATAGAGTGAGTGAGACCTAGCCTCTATTTTAAAGTAAACGTTTTATTTAAAAAAGCAAGAAAAGCATAGCTCTACAATTCATCTAGCCTAACCCGCCACTCAGCATTGAGAAGCATACTGCATAATGATTAAGCACAGAGGCTGTGCCCCTTCCTTAGGTTTGCCAATTGGGAAACTTAACCTTTTCAAGCCTCAGTTTCCTCAACTGCAAAATGGGCACGGTACTAACAATACCTACCCTAGAGTGTTTTCAGAGGACTGATTGACTTAATATATGCATGGCATTTAAAACAGAGCTGGCTAAATGTTTGCTGTCACGATTGTCCTAGAACAAGGCCAGAATGACCTTCTCAAAAAGTCTCCAGAACCACTCTGGGCAACGCATCTCAGTTTTTCATAATATGGCAAAACTATGTCAAGTTGTATTTTTAAAAATAAACACAATGCAACCTTACCAGGACTGCTGCATAACGTCATTTGGCAGTAGAAAGCGGCACATATTCGCAGTCTGGTTGTTGTTTTTGGTAAAAGGCACCAAGTTGCTGTAAATGGGGTACGGAGTCATGATGGTAAAGGAAAGGCCCCAGGTAGCAGCAATCACCTTCAAAGCATGGGACTTCGTTTGCCAGACCCGGGACTGCAAGGGTTTGCAAATCGCACCATATCGCTCTAAAGATATGGCTACCAGATTAAAGGTAGATACACTCACAGAGGTGCCTGGGAAAGGAACAAAGAAGCCGGTTATGTCAGCTTTGAAATCCAAAGTTTATTTGCACATTAGCTTCAACATATCGGATCTGCACAGGTTTGATATGAAAGGAAAACACTTGGAAGGTAAAGAAATATTGTGTATGTATATTTTTAAAAGACGATTTATTCTCAGCTGTGTTCCAGAAAGGGCTTAAGGCAGTTAAAGAAATGGATTTGTAAATAGATTCCATCGCCAATTTTTAATAAGTTTATTGAGATTTGATTCCACCTAACTCCTGCTTGGGCTCAAGGTGCTCATTAATTAATAACCAAGGGGATAAAATTCATTCTGGCCCCAAAAGAGAGGTTTTCCTAAAATCTGAAAAGAAGCTCTAAGGTCGAGTATGGTCTGCATAGTGAAGTTGACCTTAAAAACCCGAGATTCTCAAGGGCTCGGTGACCCTGAAAGGTCACTGTGATCTGAGCCGGAGGCATAAAGGCTTTTTCTAAAAATTTTGAGTACATAATATTTTTAACAGTGAAACAATCTATATTTCAAAATGTAGCTTGTTGAAAAACATAAGTAGTAAAAAAGACAAGGGAAAATGCCCAGTACTATAACTAAAGGTTTCTCCAGGTGGGGGACAAAGTCTCCCGACTCATTGTTTTTGCTTTTCTGTATGTTGCACGCTGAGCAAGCATCACCATTACAGTGAGAAAGATATCAAATACACCTCATTTAAAATCATGTATTTCTTGTCTGGGTGCAGTGGTTCATGCCTATAATACCAACATTTTGGGAGCGTCAGGCAGGCAGATCGCTTGAGGTCAGGAGTTTGAGACCAGCCTGGCCAACATGGTAAAACCCCATCTCTACTAAAAATATAAAAATTAGCCTGGCATGGTTGCATGTGCCTGTAATCCCAGCTACTGGGGAGGCTGAGGCAGAAGAATCGCTGGAGCCTGGGAGGCCAAGGTCACAGTGAGCCAAGATCACACCACTGCACTCCAGCCTGGGCAATAGAGCAACAGTCCGTCTCAAAAATAAAATAAAATACATAAAATCATGTGCTTCTTGGTCTTAGATGGACTATGGAAAAAAATAAAAATTAAAATTAAAAATAAATAAAATCATGTGTTTCAGCATTGTCCAAAAGCTTAACTTCCATTATTTTTGTATTTGTATATGCATACTTATTAAGATGTTTTATTATTCCCTTAAAATTCTCTATAGAGTCCTTCCACTATAAATTCTGTCAATTCTGTGATTGACATGATTTCTTAAATGAAATATGAAACCATGATTTCTTATCAAAACATGAAACCATGTTTCTTATCAAAACATGAAACCATGATTTCTTAAACCTCAGAATTCATATAAATTTGGGAGCAGAAGTCCTTAAACTGAGGTCCCTAGATTCTTGTTATGCTTATAGACATAAACTAATTCTCTGAAGCTATATTCAAAAATGTCATTTTTCTAGGGAGCCTACCTCTAGCTTTCCTTAGTCTTAAAGGAGTCTATGACCAGTCTATGACCCCAAACCATTAACTAAACACTCATCTGGGGATAAGATTTGCTGTGTTTTACTGGATTTTACCTTAAAGAGTTGATGACATTTAGAGTTGAGAGTATAGCCCCAAACTCTCTCAGAGTCATTTCTGCGTAATGGGTCCTCAATTCCTCAATAACTATAAACTCACTGGCAGGCAGGCATTCCTTTTCTTTTTGCTGCGAATTAGGAGCTAATGAATGTTAATAGTTAGTATTGAGGAGTTTGCAAAATTAAGAGAAGAGCCTAAATGATTGGAACTAGAAATCCAACAAAATCATGATGGTATTGCAAATACTTTCAGAATGATATTATTTTTCTTTTCGGCAAATAATTTTTTTATGGAGCTGAAATTTACATAATGTAAAATTAAACATTTCAAACTTAACAATTCTGTGGCACTCACAATGTTTTGTCACCATGCAAACACTCATTTTAAATCTCCGTTCACATTCTCTGGTTAAGACTCCCAAATAGTATTACTGTAAGAAATATATAGATGGGCCTCGGACGTCTACAGCGCTAGTTGTTATTATTGCTTCATTTAACAATGATCATTTACAATGATCTTTTTCCTTTGTAAGTTTTGTTTTGTTTCTTTTTTTCAGAGGACTTGGACATGGATTGATACCTTCTTGGTTTTTGGTGGCACGAGCGTCAGTAATTCATCACCATTTTGTCAGTGCAGAATCCCACTTCCTCAATTGAGAAAAATGAAGACTTCTAAAGCTTTCCGGTCATTGAAGGCTGCCCTGTCCCAACTCAGTTCTGCATATTTTGCAAGCCTTGGGTGAGAACAAAAGGTATTTCCCTTCTTATTTCCCACCTCTTCCCCTCTCCCAACTAGTTCTCAGAAAGGGCAAGGGACAAGGCAATTTGGCATCAAGAGGGGACCAAGAAATGTGCTTTTGTTCAGCTTCAGGAGAACCACAATGGTTGTCAAACTGAGGCAGCATGCTCACCACTGTGTAGCTATTAATCTGGGTTCAAAAGGCAGCTCTGTTGCTCACCACCGGTGTGGTTTTAGGCACATTATGAATCTCTTTGTGCCTCTGTTTCCTCCCTAGTGAGACGAGGAAGAATCATTGCATTGACTTCATAGAGTGGCTGGGAGATAAAGTGAGATCATGGGAGTAAAAGCACTTAGTATCACATAGGGTGCATAAAAGCACTAAAAACATTAACTGTTATGATTCTCATTATCATCATTTTGATTGGCATAGGCAAGTAGCTACATATCTCAGCCAATCAGAATCAGCTTAGTGACTCCACAGCCCCCAGGATCCAATTCAACTCCTCATCTAGGGGCAGAGACCTCTCTCTCTCTCTCCCTCTCTGCCAGAGAATGTCCCAGCTTTTTGGAGAACAGGATGGGAAGTGAATTCTGAGAAAATAATCTGAAACTGTGATAGAACTGGTTTTCAAATAGTCCTGTTCCCAAGAAAACAAGAGAAACAATGGCAAAGAACCCTCCTCCCTAATCCTCACCCTCCCTAGAAGCCAGGACTCGAGTTGGGTAGAGATCAGGACACAGTCAACAGCTTCCAGAAAGGGACAGAGCAGCCTTAAAGTCACTTTTGATTTCAAACAGAAGCAGGCAAGTCCCTCTTCCCTTCAAACAGAAGCAAGCAAAATCGACTGCCTCTGTGTGTTTCCTATCAATTTATTTCACTCTTAGAAACTGACCTCTGACATGGATGATGGTGACGGACTTGTGGGGAATGAGTAAGGGTGACTGACTGTCAAGCCAGCTCCAATGTCTTTGCACACAGCCGTGCACAGCCTGACGTTCTGCGTTCAAGCCCTCAGCAGGACTCCTCTGCTGTGACTGTCAGAGGTTTGGGAAGGTCTGGGGCTGAGTGGGGTCTGGGGCAAGCTCCGGAAAGAGTCACCGGCCATAACTTACCCATGAAGTAGGTGGTGGTCTTGCAAACGGCACTCCCGAAGATGAAATCCTTGAGCAGGTTGGGGATGAGGTTGAACGGCATGCAGAAGAGGCAGAGCATGAGGTCGCTGACAGCCAGGGAGAGGAGGAAGATGTTGGTGACCGTCCGCATCCGCTTGTTCCGAATCAACACGGTGATGACCAGCGTGTTTCCCAGCACGCTGAGCAGGAATATCAAGGAGTACAAGAGAATCTGCACCGCCGGCTGCCACTCTGCAGAGAGTAACAGGAGCAAGAAGGAGGGATGGAGGTGATGACAGCGGAATGCTAAAAGCGAAGCGAAGGGCGATTTCCTGCCGATTTCACCCCCAACCTGGGGTACATCATTGGACCCACGATTCCTGTCCTGACAACATTTTGCAGAAAGAAACTGAGGAAAGCAGAGACTAAATTATTTTGTTTTTAGAAGGTTGGTTTGTTAAAGGATCACTCGGGCAATCACTTTTTCTTAAGAACAAAGCTCCTCAAGTGAACAGTGATCACTTTCTTTCCTAGCTGCTAAGCATTATTTCACTTTAATCACTTCACGCTGGGTTTCCCCCCAAGAAAAGGCAACAGCTGCGTAGTGACAGTACCTTTTCTGCTGTGCCTGTAAGTTCAGGCTTTGACACTTGTACCCCGTCTTGCTTCACTCAGCTCTTCCTCCCGGCTTTCGTTTCCCCAAGTCCTATTCATGAATGCCTAACTCTCCCATGGGGACAATAAGAATCTTTGACTCTATTCTGCTTTTTAATCTCTTCTGCAAACTTCTGAACATATGACTTTATCCAGCCTTGCCTCACAATGACTTTATTACATATGGTTTTTATCAGCCTTGCCTTTGCCGATTTCTCCTGCAACTCAATAGTTTCCTGAATTAAAATAACAGCTTCTGACACTTACCTTCGGAAGGACGAGGTTGATCCAAACAGAAAAGCGTCTCATTTTCCAGCCCGAGTTCGCAGGGAGGAGAGATGTTGCTTCCATTCACAAAAAGGCTGTCAACCACATCCATCCTTGCCTGCTGCTTTCCACCAAGTGCTGGAGAGCTGGTGAATTGCTCACTCCCGGCTCATTCCTCTAATGACCGGAGCGTCTCCCAAATGCAACCTGGCGTGGAGGAGCAGGGAGGGAGGGATTTCCAGGTGTGGGCTTTTTCAGCCATTCCTAAAGGCAACTTGAGTTCACCACGCTCACTCCAGCTGGGCAAGCATTTGCCCTCCTGTTGTGGAAAAGGCAGTGTAAGCCAAGCCTGCTCCACCTTCACCCCCCCACCCCCACCCCACCCTTTCCTGGGCCAGTCTTAGGGCCCTGAGCACAGAGAGCCTGGCTACAAGCTAACCCTTCTCGGAGTGTGGCTGCTTTTATACACACATGTGTACGCATGCACAAACACACACACAAACACACACACTCTTCCCCAGTACTCCTCTATACCTGTTACCATCCCAGACGTATGCGGAAGAACCAGCTGTGTGAGACAGGAACAATTAACACGTAACAGATCCGATAATGCAGACCATCAGGCCTAAAGGACAGGGGGGACTGTGTTCTACCTCCTTATAGAAAAGCAATTAGTGCCTTTTTAGCTTTGGAACCATGCCCGGTGGTGTGTGTGTGTGGCCAGAACTGCTGGGTGGTGGTTGTTACTAAACACGGTGTTATTTCTGTGGTCTCTGCCCTCGTTACCTAGAAGGATTGAGGCACTTTTGAATATAGGTACCTGCGTCCTTATTACAAAAAATGTTAATAAGATTTCCTCTTCATTCATGAATTCATTCGTTCAGCACGTCTTCATTGAGACTCAGTCATTGCCAGGCACTTTTCTAGCATGTCAGCAAATAATGAGCAAAATCATTTCAGGTTTGGTAAGTACTACGAAGGAAGGAAAGCAGGGAGATGTGATGTATACACACAGATTGGGGATGGGGATGCTGACTTTATCTAGGGGACAGGGTCTTGCTGTGTCACCAGGTTGCAGTGCAGTGGTGTGATCACGGCTCGCTGCAGCCTTAATCTCCCTGGCTCAAGCAACTCTCCTACCTTAGCCTCCTCAGTAGCTGGGACTACAGGCACACACCACTAAACCAGCTGATTTTTTTTTAGTTTTAGAAGAGAGGAGGTCTCGCTATGTTGCCCAGGCTGGTCTCAAGCTCTAGAGTTCAAGCAAGCCTCCTGTCTTGGCCTCCCAGTGTTGGGATTACGAGCGTGAACTACCGTGCCTGGCCTGGGGCTGCTAATTTAGAAGGGGTGGTCAGGAGAGGCTTCTCAAGGAGGGGACTGTAATCTGAGACCTGAACCACAAGAAGGATGAAGTCAAGATCCAGGGACAGCTTTTCCCAGGCAAAAGGAGGAGGATTTTTAGCAGAAGTAACAGCAAGTGCAAAGGTCCTGAGGTGGGAATGAGTGTGGCTCCATTGAGGTACAAATAGAAGCATGAGCGGGTGAGGGGCAAACAGCAGGATGTGAGATCAGAGAGGGGGGCCAGCTCAGAGGTCTGGGTGTTCCATGAGGCTCTGTGGTGCTGGAAAGCCCCTCAACCCCCATGGCACAGATCACCGCCTCAGGTCAGACCCTTTAGAAAGCAGACGACAATGGCTGTGGAACCTGCATTTCTGATGCACTGCTCGGCTGCACTGAGACTTGGTCCCTTTTGTAGATACCCGTGGGGCTCCTTGTATACTGACAATGCTTCCACTGGCAGAGCTGCACGCTACACTTGCTGAGTCTCTGGCAGACACGGAGGAACTAACGGGCATTTTTACTGTCAATGTGGGGCTGGAAAGACAGTGGTGCCTCTTCTCTTTGAAACCAGGAAGACCACATAGTTGGGGGCACCTAGTCACAGAAACCAGAAGGGGAAGGGATATTGGAGAAGCTGTGGATGTCATTAGGAGGACAGGCTTTGGAATCAGACAGACGTGGGATCAAATCCTGGCTTCACCATTTGCTAGGAAATATTGGGCAAATTTCTTTCTTTCTTCCTTTATTTTCCTTCCTTCCTTCCTCTTTCTTCTTTCTTTATTTTTCTTTCCTTCCTTCCTTCCTTCTTTCTTTCTTCTCTTGCTCTGCTGACCAGGTTGGAGTGCACTGGCATAATCCAGGCTCACTGCAAACTCCACCTCCCAATCGCAAGCAATTGTGCCTCAGCCTCCTGAGTAACTAGAATTACAGGCATGCACCACCATGCCTAACTAATTTTTGTATTAGTAGAGATGGGTTTCGCCAAGTTCCTGATCTCAAGTGATCCACTCGCCTCAGCCTCCCAAAGTGCTGGGATTACAGGTGTGAGCCACTGTGCCCAGCTTGGGCAAGTTTCTTAACCCAAGACTCATTTCCACCTGTCAAATGGGGATCAAAATGATCTAATAGATATCTGTTATGAAGATTGAATGATTGACTCAAGACAGTGTCTGACATACAAAAGATGTTCAATAAATCATAGCAGCAGTAATCATAGCCTTCGTACAATAACGGCTATTTTCCTGTTACAAATGAGAAAGCTGAGGCTCCCAGTGGCCACGTGCTTCGCTGGTGAGAACCAGTGGTGGACTTCCCCTCCAGGACCCTGCAGACCCCATCCTCACACCACTTCCCATGGTGTGGAGCTTTGCATCCTTATTCTAGCATTGTATAGCCTGTTTGCAGCCAGGGTTCTCGTCTCTACTCCTCCTTCCTGCCATCAGTCCTTTTGGCTGAATCTTTCCTGTCTACAGATGATGGACCCTGCTCACTGTGCATTGACCCAGAGCAGCTGCGTTCTGAGGTGAGAAGGGATGAGCATCCAGGGTTTCCGCTGCTGCTTCAACTGCTCCAGCTGGGCAGACATCACCAGCCCTTCAGGGTGCCTCCTGCTGAGGCTGGTCAGGCCCATCGGCAGCTGCTTCAAAGGCTGGGGGGACAGTGGCTCTGCAGGTCCAAGAGCCAGAATAGCAGAGGGCTGGACATTGACCCGCCCTGAACCAAAATGGAGCCCAATTTGGGACAAGTTCCTCCTTTCCCTTCCCTTCCCGTTCCCTTCTTCCTATTCTGTTTTCTCCCCCTGCTCATTGGTTGGCGGGAAGTGGGAGTGGGAGATGTGGTGGATGCTAGCAACTTTTTAAACTTACGGTTTGGGGAATGGCAGCATATTTGAGTATTATTTTGCACAGACTTTACGGCACAGCTGAATTACCTGGGTTAGTGGTTTAATAATGGTGATTTTGGCCAGGTGTGGTGATTCACACCTGTAATCCCAGCACTGTGAAAGGCCAAGGTAGGTGGATCACGAGGTCAGGAGCCTGAGACCAGCCTGGACAACATAATGAAATCCTGTCTCTACTAAAAATACAAAAAATTAGACAGGCATGGTGATGGGCACCTGTAATCCCAGGTACTCAGGAAGCTGAGGCAGGGGAATTGCTTGAACCCATGAGGCAGAGGTTGCAGTGAGCCAGGATTGCGCCATTGCACTCCAGCCCAGGTAACAGTATGGGACTGTGTTTCAAAAAAAAAAAAGGTTATTTCCAGACTTTCCTCCCAGAGATTCTGATCCCTGAGATCAGCCCTGAGCCTGGAAATCTGCATGTTTATCCAGCATCCCTGGGGATTTGGAGATCACTTGTGAGGAAGGATCTCAGGGCCACTTGTGAGAAAGCTCCCTGGGAACTATTAAGAGGGCGAGGGGACGTATCAGAAGGCAGAAATTGAAGCCTGATCTTCACCCCTGGCTGGCTAGGAAGCGTGAACAAAGAAATTACTTAACCTTTCTGAATCTCAGCTTGCTTATCTGTAAAAGAGAGATAAAATAATGCTACTATAAATAAAACAATACATGGAGAGAACTCTGAACCATGCCTGGAACATAGTGCTGGATACTAATTGTTATTATTAATAGATAAGATTAATTCTAGGGATGCTCTATTTATTCCATGATCACAGCCAGATTAAAGGTTTGTATTAATATCTTCAATACCCTAGCCCAATACCTGGCATATAGTCTGTGCTTAGTAAATATGAATAAATAAATAGCAAGAATTAGAGGGGCCAATATTTCAATTGCTTATTACACCCATTGATAATTCTGTTACATTGATTCCTTTTCTTGCCATCTCTGGATTTTTCACTTTGAATTTGTAAGCCCATGTGATATGGTTTAGTTGCGTCCCCACCCAAATCTCATCTTGAATTGTAGTTCCCATAATTCCTACGTGTGGTGGGAGGGACTGGATGGGAGGTAATTGAATCATGGGAGAAGGTCTTTCCCTTGCTGTTCTTGTGATAGTGAATAAGTCTCACAAGAGTTGATGGTTTTATAAAGGGGAGCTCCCCTCCATATGCTCTGCCTTGCCCGCCGCCATGTAAGATGTGACTTTCCTCCTCATTTATCTTCCACCATGATTGTGTGGCCTCCCCAGCCATGTGGAACTGTCAGTCCATTAAACCTCTTTCCTTTATAAATTACCCAGTCTTGGGTATGTCTTTATTAGCAGCATGAAAGCAGACAAATACACCATATTACCCAAGAGTTCAACTAAAGAAGAAAAGACAATTGCAATGAAAGATTCCAATGCATTTTCAAGGGAAAGCTGTTGCATTTCAAGAGTGTCAGCCCTTGTTTCACTCCTCAACATACATTATGGTGAGTGCTTCCTAAGTGCCAGGTGCTGTGTTTGGTGCTAGGGATTTTGTGAGCCAAGTGGATGAAATTTCTGTCCTCATGAAATCGCTGTCCACTGTGGGACACAGAAGATGAGTAGCCTGGGCAAAGTGGAAATGCCTTCTCGCCTTGGAGACTTACCCTGTGATTAGGCGTGGTTCCAGGTGAATTGATGCTAATGGACTGAAGTGAATTGGAATGGCATAAATGCCTCCCCTCTCTCTGAGACACACACGGACACGCAGGGCATGAGCCCAGGTGCCTCCTGCAGGCCACAAAACCCTTTAAGTACTGGGGACTCTCTTCTCTGTCAAACCATGCCCTGGAAGGAAAAGGCTTCAGCAATCTCCATGGGTTCCTGAATAATAACATTTTTAACTGTTCTCCAGACT